GTCCTCTGTCTTTGCTCACACTCTTCCCTTTATCTAGATTGTTCTCGGTTCCTTTTCCTTGACTTACTAGTCAATCTTTCTGTCCTCTGTCTTTGTTTACACTCTTCCCTTTATCTAGATTGTTCTCGGTTCCTTTTCCTCATACCCTTGACTTACTAGTCATTCCTTAGGTCCTGGATAAAACTGTTTCTTCCTTGAACCCTCATGTCCATCCTCCTGTTAGCTTACAGCTTCTGGATCTTGGAGTGCTGGTAGGGTGTGCAGGTTACTGTGTACCTTGTGAGGCTCCGTGGAGTGACGCTCACACAGCAGGCTATTGGAGGGCACCTTTCTGATGGAAAGCAACCTGGCAGTGCTGAGCCTGTCCGCAGTATTTTTTGTAATAGATTTTGCACTAGATAGTGTTTTTAAACTCTGTGGTATAACCCGTTCACTGTTTGTGAAAGCAGTTTGTGTGGTTCAAGAATATCATTAAAAAAAAAAAAAAAGAAAAAGAAATAGAACATAACAAGGGTAAGCATTATATACTAAAAGCTTTGTTTCTGGGTTTGTGTTTATATACATGCCACCTAGGTTGTAATGTAGAATGTAGTATTTCTTACTATGAGTTGTAGTAAAAAAAAAATTGAAAAACACTGTATTAAATTTTAACCTCTGTAATGAATTTTGAAATTTAAAGAAGAGACATTTGGAATTTTAATGAAGCTCAAAGAACATAAAACTGTGATATTTATGAAAATTTTCACAAAATGCTTTCACATAATGTGTGCCATCATCCCTGTTAATTATCTACCATAGGTATCTATAAGTGAATGATTTTTTTTCTTTAATGTATTTTGGAAGATTTAGCAGGTTATTACAGATGTTTCCCTGAAGTTGTTGTTTTTTTAAACTTTAGTGTACATTTATCAGTTTGGATTGCTTATAGTAGAAATATGTTGGGTGGCGCCTGTGGCTCAAAGGAGTAGGGCGCCGGCCCTATATGCTGGAGGTGGTGGGTTCAAACCCAGCCCTGGCCAAAAACTGCAAAAAAAAAAAAAAAAAAAAAAAGAAAGAAAGAAAGAAAAGAAGTATGTTGAAGATACTTTTTAATACATTAGAATGGAATGAATTTTGTCAACTGAGTCTGTGTATTAACCACAAATTTTTAAATTTGTAATCAAGGACAATAAAATTCTACTTTGGAAAATAAGTTCACTTTACAAAGTGCTGTAATATGTGAAAAGAAATATTAATATTATTTTGTTATTAACTAGCATTTAAAAGACAGCTTGATTTTGAAACAGGTTATTCTTAGCAGTCAGCTCACAAGAATCATGTTTTCTTCTTTTTTTAAAAGAGAGTTTAAAAGAAAAAAAAGAACCTCTAAATCTTGCAAATAACATAGGCATCCTGAATGGTGATGTGTTACTTTTTGAGAGTCTTGAGTCAAATGTACATTCTTGAGATTGGAAAGCAATCACTAAGAGGTTTGCTTAATCTTTACATAAAGCTATTTCTGGTTGACTTTGTTTAAATTTGTGGGAAAAAAAGCTTCTTTCCTGGAGTTCTGGAACCCTGTTTCTCAGGAGCTGCTGTGCTAGTAATGCCTGTGCATTTTTCCTTCACTTCTCTAGGGTCAATACAGACCTTCTGATTTGTTGTGTCCTGAAACGTATGTCTGGGTACCCATTGAACAGTGCCTGCCTTCACTTGAAAACTCCAAGTACTGCCGTTTTAACCAGGACCCAGAAGCAGGTATGTTTGGAACAGAGCTCAGGGGAAATCATTGCTTTACTTTTATAATCCATGTGTGTAGCTGTTAACAGGGACTAGGAAGCTTTTCGTATAGTATGTACATGAGAGAGAGAGAGAGAGAGAGTGTGTGTGTATATGTGTGTGTAAGACAGAGGAGGACATCTCACAGGCATACATCATCACAGTTTGGCACAAAAATTAAGAAACCCCATGTGCTGCTTACTGACCTGGCTTCTCCCATTAATGCTATAGGATGGTTTTATGGAGGCAAAGAAGCTGTGATGAGTTTTGTGACAATACTTTGACTTTCTACTTCTCTGATATGTCTCCTTTTCTGTTCCCTTTTCCACCTCTCACTCAGTATAACTCCAGCCATACTTTGTTGCCCAATATTTCCCTTTGGCTATTCCATGTGCTGATAGTATGGTCAGATGTCAAAGTACAGCCCTGGAGTCAGACTTCCTGACTTCAGATTCTGGCCCCTGATCAGCTGGTGAACTCTGTGCCCTTGAGCAATTTAATGATCTCTCTGGCCTCAGATTCCTAACCTTTAAAATTAATATAATAGTTAGACCTACCCTACCAAGCTGTGATGAGGTTTAAAATAAGACCAACAAGCTAAGAATAGCCCCTCTTGTTGTGTTGGTGGTTGTTAGCCAAACTGGAGTGCTACATCCCATGTGTACCACAGGCCATTGTCTGTACTTACTGTTAATTGCTGTGATCCCTCTCTGCCAAAATGTGTGATTCTGTTTATCTCCCTGTAGTGTAAACACCACTGCACGATTTAAAATAGTCTTCCACGCAGTCGTGCCAGTCCCCTTGGCATTTGAGTGTGGCCTTGTGCAACAGGCATGAACTTTGAGGCTCTCCAGATAGGATCGATTATGTTGAGATGTTTTCCCTGCCCTCACCAAAGTTCTTGATGTTCTGAATTGTGCTTAATTGAGCTTTGAGGCCTCACAGAACCCACCAAAGAGGAGATGCCTGATACGTATTTCTTAAGAATATGAATGTTTTTCTACTTACCACCTGTGGTCCAAGTCTGGGAAAAATACTGAAAAAAAATACTGGTTCATGTAATGCTATATTTTTTTATCTCCTTGAAAAGTTGTTATAAAATCAAGAGTCAAGTCCGACTTCTTCTTACACATAATGAATCTGATACCGGACCTTTGACTTTGGATTTCCAGGCTCTTGGTCTTGATAACTCAATGAATGAATTGATGGACCACAGGATGGACAGTAAGTTAGATTTTATTTACAGAGGTATTATTATAGCTCTTAAAAAGAGCCAAATCTTGCAGAGCAGGATAATATAGGTTTTATATAAGTGTCACAGCTCTTAGAAAGAGCCAAACCTCCTTGCAGGGCAGGATGCAAGTGTTACAGCTTTTACAAAGAGCCAAACCTCCTTACAAAGCAGGGTATAAGTGTTACAGCTCTTACAAAGAGCCAAACCTCCTTGCAGAGCAGGATGCAAGTGTTACAGCTCTTACAAAGAGCCAGAATTCCTTGCGGAGCAGGGTATAAGTGTTACAGCTCTTCCTCTTCTGCTCTCTCACCCTCAGCGATCTGCAGCAATCTTCTGAGGTCTTTGCTCTCCTGTTCTCTCTTCCTTGAAGGTCTAGGATGATTGCCCCTAGGCTGTTTACTCAGAGGTTTATATAGGGGCAGTTGTCCAATGAGCTGAAAGCAGGATCGAAAATGGACCAATCAGGGATGCACTGGAGGAATTGCCAGTGTTTTCCCCTGCTCAGTCTGGTTCCTTTGGCTACTGGAGCCTCTGATGGGGGAGGGAAGCTCCCATCCACTTGCTCCAATCTGCCAGCTGCTGTCACCAAGACAGAGGTGGCAGGTCCCCAAGCCCCACTCAGCTGAGCTGGCAGGGCTGCCACCTTTCCGGTATCAATACCTTTGAATCTGATGAAGAGTGGCCATAGGGACTCAGGCGATTCGTGCAGGGTGCCTGGGGTTAGCTCTTGGTTTCCTAAGTATTTAGGTTTCATAGAATAACCAGGGCTTTATGGTTCCTGTGCCTTAAATTATTAATCAGACTCTTGCCATTTTATTCTAACTAAAGTTACACCTCATTGACCAAACATGTGTTATTTGAAAATAGACATTAAATTTGTCAATCGATTTTGAAGTTAGGCTCATAAGCCAAAAGCAATAGTCTTATAGAGAAGGGCATATACTTACTCTCCTATCTCCTCACAAAGAAAAAAATCTCTTAGCTTTTCTCAAGGTCAGATCAGACCAGTCTGATAGTAAAAACTGCTGAGCAGCTTACTGAAATATTTCATATTCACATACAAAAGTTTATCTTCTTAAGTTCCTTTCAAGAGAATAGTGTTATGATCTTAAATTTATTTCTAACTCTCAAATTTAATTTCAATGACACTATTTCTTTTATCTTCCTTTTTTCCCCCCTCTTGATTTTTTTTGGCAGGGGCTGGGTTTGAACCCGTCACCTCCAGCATAAGGGGCCAGTGCCCTGTTCCTTTGAGCCACAGGTGCTGCCCTCTCTTGATCTTTTTTAAAGGTTGTTTCTCTTCTTATGTAATACTTGGTGGTTAGAGAGAGTTCTTCTTGTTTATAAAGTTGAGAAGGTGGCTGAATAATGTTCATGCCCTGAATGGACATTCAAGTAAATATTCATTCATGTTCATAGATTTTGAAGTTTTTTCCCAAAATAAGCACTAATGAGAATTTCATGGCAAAGAAAATTTAAGTCTCAAAGTGCCTATTTTTGTCAAGAACATACTGTATCTTGGTGAGTGATGAATATATTGCATGGTTCTTTTCCTGGAATCCAGTAAATTACATTTCTTCCCCTCCCCCAGTGTTATATTTCTAATAGTGTTAGCTTTAGCTCTTAATATTCATTGTTCAGAATTAACTTACAAAACTCAGGAGTACCTTTGAAGAAAATGAAGATTCTTTTTCATGTGCTGAATCTTGGGAACTTTCAAGAGAATAGTACAGTTTTATCAGTATTGAATATCATGGTCCAGACACTATTTGAAATCAGACTTACATCCTGTGGTTTTAGGAAATTAAAACATAGTTACATGCTGGAATGTATTGAGCCTGCTGTGAAACATGGTCATTTGAGGTTTAAATGGCAGTCCATGAGAAATGCCTCTCTTCTCTGGGGCCAGCTTTACTTTTGTATGACCCAAACTCCAACTCAGAGAAAATACAGAATGTAATATGGGCAATATTCTGAGTCGGCATGGTGCTTTTTTCACTAAATCTTGTTTCTCCTCCCACCTGTTTAGTAGTTAAATTACGTTGTAAAAGGCACAGTTGAACACCATAGGCCTCAGTAAAACAAAATGTGGCTTCAAGGTGCACCAGTGGCCAGCTGTAAAAAAAATCACATTTCCCCCCGCACTGAATTGTTGTAAGCCTCTGGACATCTTCCCTGCCCTGACTGTCTGTCAAGGGGGGTCCCTTCCTCAGGGGAAATTTTGGTTCCATGGTTGTTTGCTTAAGGAAGAAGTCTGTGTAGCACTAAAAGCCTTTTCTGTTTACTGCTTTGTGATACTATGGGGAGAGATAGACAAACTGAAACAACTTGGAAAATTCTAAAGAAATCTTTTCTTCATAAAAGGGTCTTTTGTTTTTCAATTTATTACTTCTGCCTACTCCATAGAAAGGATTTAAGAAGTTTCTCAAATGATTCTTAAGTTAAAAGTCTGTTAGGTTGTTTTTTAAATTGATAATTGAATATGCATAAATGTTGAAAATTCTGCATCCCAGTCACACCTTACCCTTTTTGTTTAAATTATTTTTAAAAAATATTTCCTGGGAAGCCTAGTAGAAAATTTGCCTGAAACTGGTATTAAGTAGAGTGATTTATAGGTACATTATGCAGCAGTAATTTTTATTTAATATTTTTACACTCTCCTTGGGGTCTTTTTATTTCCTGTGCATATATCTGTATTTTTAATATCAAAACAAGAATCATGCTGCATGCTTTTGTCGTTGCTCTTACTTAATACTTTGTATTACTACTTTTGGTAGGATGAAAACTACTTGACCATTAATTTGGTCACTTAGCCAATAAATACTACTACTATGTGACAGATACTGTCTAATAGATATTTTACAGAAAAGCAGCATTGAAAGGGTAGCCCCTATATTTTGTAGTTAGTTTTAGAGTCATAAAAACTGTGATTTGATTTGACTCTTAATGCTGGAGAAATGTTATATTATTTTTCATTAAAACTAAAAGCCTTGGTTCTAGATTTACAAGAAATAAAACCTTATTGTGCATATACTATTTCCCAAGCCCCATCTTATGTTTTCCTTTTCTCCTGTGTTCTGTGTTACTACTTCTTCTTTTTATTTAGGTTAATGCTATATTCCTTTGGAGTTATTTTTTACCTTTTTTAAAATTTAATTTCAGATTAACATATAGGTACAAATGGTTAGGTTACCTTGTTTGTGTTTGTTAGGTAAATGTCCAAGTTGTAATCGAGCCCAGGAGGTGTGCCGTATATCCCTATGTCGCACCTGTTAGGTGAGAGCTTACCAACCCCCCTTCTCTCCCCTATCTCCTCCCACTTCTCTGCCCTCAACTTGAATTTAATTGTTTATTTTTCTTGTGTGGGCCTATAGTAGTTCATCTACTAGTTTCATATGAGTATTGAGTACACTAGATGCTTGCTTTTCCATTCTTGTGATACTTTACTTAGGAGGATGTTTTCCGCATCCATCCAGTAACTGTAAAAGATGTAAAGTCTCTATGTGTCTTTATGGCTGAGTGGTATTCCACAGTATACATATAGTTAATTTATCCATTCTTTGAGTTGATGGGCACTTAGGTTGTTTCCACATCTTGTTGATTATGAATTGAGCTGTGAGTAACATTCTAGTATAAATGTCCTTATGGTAAAATGATTTTTTTTCTTCTGGGTAGAATCCTAGTAATGGGGTTCTGGGATTAAATGGAAGGTCTACTTTTAGCTCTTTGAGGATTCTTCATACTC